TATTTACGATCTATTCCTTACATCCGAACCGGCACTCTTGATATTGAACTGTTTTGATGTTGAATTTGATTAATGACGATAACAAATGATAAAGTTGCAAGGCTGCAGCGATGCAGAAATGCTCGTCTCCACCCTTACGATCAACTTTTGAGTCGAGCGGGGATTAAAAGTTAAGATCTCCGATCGAGATAATTTTTTCATTACGGGGAATTGTTCGACTCAATTGCTACCAATATAAATAGAGGAGATAACACAAACAAACTTTCGATTGTGTAATTGAGAGTTCCTTCTGCAAAATGTTGCAGTGCACGACAATATGCTGATTAAATGCGGTCCCCAACGCAGACCCTTGTCTCTGGTCTCTAATTTACCACTCTAACCACCACTAGTTTTTGTTTACTTTGAAAAGTTTTCTTTATATTATATTATATATAAAATGATATTCCGACCAAGGGATAAAGTTTATTTAAATTGAAAAAAGTGAGGTTAATACTGTTTGACAGTTGCCCGATAAAATATAAAATAAAATAGGCCTAAAATCCCTGGCGGTAGTTGAATAAAACTTTTTGGATAGACGTTTTGCAAAGGGTTAATGAAACCAATAAAGCAGTCCAAAAACAAAATATGGATTTAAGCACAATTGTGCTAAATGCTCATCTTTTGTCATTTTTAGTTGAGAACTTTGATTTTTTACGTGATCATTTTGATCATTACGAGGAAATTAACAGGAAACGAAAATTATGAAGCGGATAATCATAAGAAAATTACAATTTGAAGAAAATAATTCAGAGGCAAGTTTAAGCAAAAAAGAAACAATGCGAACAATATGTTTTATTTTAATAATTGACAATCTATAATCCGAAATCATTTGTCGATATGATAGCTAGAAATCTGGCACAAACAAATTTGAATTTTTGTTTAATCTAAAAGCATAAATCTTCGTGGAGGATTTGGATGAGTTTTTTCCTCAAAAATGTGTCCAACTCAAGAAACTGGTAACTTCCCTTTCGGAAATAAAAATAGAAACTTCATTGGAATTAGTAGATATAAGTTTTATACGAAAATAAATTAATATCTTCATTTCCGAATATTAATATTTGTCTGCGATTTTTTTTTATAATGGTTTCAAATGCAAGTGGTGAACGATCTTTCTCTACTCTAAAAAGGGTAAAGAACTACCTAAGAAATACAATTCCCCAAGAAAGATTTAACTCCTTAGCAATTAATTGCTAATTATGTCCATTTATCAAGACCTGCTAGATGAAATAAATGTAAAGTGTTATAAAACAATTTGCTACTATAAAGACTTGAAAACAACCTTTTAATTATTAGTATTAGGATTTCTCAATATTTATTTAAACCAAAGAATAATGTTTTATTTATTTATAACTTTTGATTAGTTTTTATTAGTTTAATGAAACAAAATATTAAACTTTTATTTTTAATTAGTTTTTCTTAGTACTTGATATTGTTTATATAAACCAAAGAATGTTTTATTTTTTGGTTAGTGCATTTGATTAGTTTTTATAATTTGTTTATAAAGGCTCATTTTATATTTTATAGGATACTAAGTTTACTGTTAGATACCAACCTAACCAACCTAATCTTCCACTTGACGTGAGAAAGTAAGACTTAAAAATTTAAAAATGTTTTTAAAAAAGTAATATTTTAAAGCATTGGGCGTTGTGTTTGTGCTAGAACCGGGCGGCGAACTAACTTAAACCGGCACTGTTTGTCGCATCAATGAAAAGTGCCAGAAACTATAGTGAGCAATATTCAGCACATTTAAAGTTATTTTCGAAAGTTTATTAAGTGGAAATGATATTTTGCCCGGGTTAAAGTTAAGAAATGTACCTACATAATTGCAATCAGGGAATTTATTATTTCCCCCACTCTTTGCAGGGCCACAAAATTTCTTATTCCTTGCGGGTGAAAAAAAAATATTATTTGGCCATTTTTTTACTTTATACAGTGTGACCAATTTATTAGTATCTCACCCCTGTAAATGTTTTATTTATTGTGCGATTTTAACCGGATTTGAATTAAAGTGTATTTCTTGATAAACTGTATTTTTGGAGCAAAAACCCCATATTTTTACAAAATACAAGGCCTACTATGTCAGTTTTTGAGAGTAAATTTTTAAGAATTCATATTAGCAATTTAAAAAAAATCTATTCACGGTACTGGATTAACCCTTTAAATTTTAAGTAGGATCGATTGTGTAGCCAAAAAAAGGACAATAATAACTAATAATACAAACATGTATTCTGTCAAGTTATGCATGAAAAAAACATTGAAATAAAATTAAACTAATAGTAACAGTATAAATATTATGGGATGAGCCAATCGATATACCAACATCATCAGCGACTTCTCTGATGGTTTATAACCATTTCTTCCACTTTTTCCGTTTTTATCGGTTGTTAACGCGCTTGTGCGTTCGTAATCTTCAACGTCTTCACTATAGGCCTTTGTTAACATTTCACGGAATTTATTTCATTTTTCAAGCAAAATTGAATACAAATTCTTTGATCAATTTCTTTTAACTAACGAAAAATCGCCGAGCTCATAAAACACGTCTAACCTTAGCTGCTGCCACAGACAAAGTAAACAATGAAAACAGCTATAGTTTTTATCATACTTCGAAGGCATGTATACCAACACAATAAAGAAAATTTTATGACAACCGGACCCTCCGAACCCGCGTAATTGAACAATTCCCGTTATTTTCTGAACACACCTCGTATACGTCTATAGACTCTACTACAACCTAGAACTTTTTCAACATTTTCTCATAGCGACTAGCCCGAACCTTCTTTGCAAATCTAAAAACAAAACGTTTTTTACAATATCTCGAAAACAAAGTTCAATTATAATTAAGCAAAATTTTGGTTATTTTTGGAATAAGCGCACCAGAATAATTAATTCTATAAACTATTATCGATAAGAAATTCTCGTTATTAAACTCACCATTCATTCATAAAATAAAAACAATTAAAAATAGTAATTTCCATGCCCTATTTCATTCATCCCACACGATTTGTTAAGTCGATTATAGAAACTTTCTTAGATTGCAGGTTTGCCATATTAAGTAGGTAGGTATACTTACTATACTACACCGCCTAGCAATTTACACCTACCTACTTAAGATATGCACTTGTTCAATAAAATACGAATATTGTTAAATGTATTTTTGGTAGTAATTTAAGATGTTGTTAAGGTATTTAAGTTATTTAGAGAATTTCAATGATTATGTGAAAATACAAAATAACGGCATACGGAACAATATGTGGCCAAAAAAGGAAACATGTTAAACTACATGATGTTCGTTAAAGAGTAAAATAATTTTCAAGATTACCAGTTCTGCATCCTGTTAAATATTTGTGTAGAAACTATACATATAAGGATTTATTTCTATTACAAAAAAAACTACATTAAATTCCTTGTGATTTTTAATCATATTTTTCTACCTTTGAGCATATAACGCATGCATTGCTAATTAGAATTTTACAAAAGTCGGTCAAAAATGTTTTTAAATTTTCAGAAAAAAATGCCTTTTATAATTTTGGACACAATAATCTTTTATAAAAGACCCGTAGTTTTGGTATAACGACTGAACTTTTTAAAAACAAGAATTTACTCCATGTTTATATACTCCAAGATTCTAACTAATTTAAATTTAAGGAGTAGGCATACATAGAAAATAATTTTGCTATTTGTCAATACTTTTCAAAAGATGATTCAATTAAAAAATGATATCATCTAATACTAAGTTGCTTTGGGTGTGTATTTTAACAGATGTAGGTATTTATTTTACATGCTTCGGTAATCAATGGATCTAATAAGTACAAATATAAAATAAAATAAAAGTTGAATAGGTATATGTATTGATACATACCTATCTACCGACTTAAATTTAATTTAATTTCAATTAGAATAAGTGTTGAGTGGGCGTACACCTAATTAATTTAACATTAATTTAATTTAAATGTTTTAATGATTTAAAAGAAATGTTTGAATAGTTTTATCATAGGTAGGTATATCTTGTTGCTTCGTTTATTTTTACAAAATAAAATAGATATTTATGTCAAGAAGTTAGTTTTTTTGGCAAAAATCTAAAAAATCGTGGTTTCTAGGTTATGTTCAATTTTTATCAAAGTATTTAAATTGTTTAAAAATTAAGGAAAATTACATTCTAGCGTGGAATCTCGCACACAATATTTTATATAACAACCACAAGGTTTTTAATGCCAATTTTGATATTTTATCTGACATCTGACAGCTGTCAAGCAGTTTTAACCTCACTTTTTCCAATTTTAACTTTAAGCCTTCAGTCCGTGGGCAAAGTAAAATTTCGCCAACCGGTTTAAAGTTCAAGTTAAAACATGAAATGGGTGTTAAATAAAATGCTTTTTTAATGGTTTTATAACAAATAAAAATATTATAAAGTTCTGTCAAAGAATTATGTTCGTAACGTCACGCTACCGGGTCATTGGCAACCCAGCATTCAATGCGACGTTGTCAAATAAAAAATGTTTAATGTAATGTAGAACATTTAAATATTAATTTTGGATAATAATAATTATTATGATTAGATAATAGATAAATTATAAAATAAATAACAATAAATAAGTAGTCTACTTAAATAAATCGGATGTATAATTTAATCATTGATTAAAATTAATAATAATAGATAACTGACTGATGATTAACTACTTAACTATTTGTTATTTAATGATCTAATTAAAAACTAAAATAAAAAACAACATTTTTAAATCGATAGATTATATTTATTTCAAGAAATCAATAAATTATGCGCGGTTTCCTTGCGCTAATTCCATTTAACAGTTAAAACCGAACGCGAAACCAAAACTATTTTTAAAAATGACAACGTTTTAACATTTATGACGCCCTTTACTCTAATCTTTGACAAACAAAGCGACAAATTCGCATTTTTGCGGTCGCACCGCTCGATAATCAAACAGCATTGTGATCGGTTACGCCACTGGTGACGTGATACGCGGATCCGCCGCTAGAGGCCGCAACCTCTGCAGGCCAGTCGAAACCAAGTTAGCTGGGCGTGTTGGGTTTACAAATCTGATCGAAAAGTGTGTGTTTTTTAGATATGTATCAAAAAGGATAACACGATAAGGTACTGTGCAATTTTTTTTAGTAGGATAAATAAATTTGCGAGTCGGCGGCGCCGAAATGCCACCGCTTTAGTGTTTAAAACTGCCTTAACTATCATCTGTTTTCAATAGCGCCAATAATGGTTAAAAATAAATTCTGAGGTGCTTTCCTGTTTAAACACAAATAAAATAAGTTAATAAAACTAAATCAAGAAGGCCGTGCTAATTTTCAGACCAACTTTACTGTAAAGCTTTTCGTTAGGGGTTGTGTAAATAAAAACCTAAACACTTTGACAGATGTAGAAAACATTGATTTTTGGGGAGGTTCTGCCGAACTCGCGATCATATCTTAATTAAATAAAAGCCGTATTGGGGTGAAATGTATATGATCCAACGTCAAATTTACTGGCATCTTAGGCTAATCAATATTTCTGACGTTAGGTTTATTTATATTCTTGCGTACAAACCCTGCCTAATAAAGGCCATTTAAATTGCACCAGGGGCGGAGCAAAAGGGTGACTTTTCCCTGGAAGTATTGTTTGCGTTTTTGTGCTTCCTGTTAGTCAATAAACCAACATAGCGATAAGGCCAGGAAGGAAACTGGGTTATGGTAATTTTTATCCTTATTTATATTTGTAATGATTTCAAGGTAAAATGTTTTTTTACATAATACCTAATAGTTAAAGGCGAAATTATAGTTAATTAATAATGGCTATTTTTGTGTTTTATGTCAGTTACTGTATGAATCAACCGTTTTAATGCGTTAAATTTATCTTGTTTGTTTACTTTATAAGCATGTTACGTATACCTATGTAAAGGTACTAAAAAGAAGATTTTTGAGAAATGCAAATAACAAATTTACCTGAGTAAGTACAAAGAAATAGTTTGTCAGTTGAAAATCCGTTTATTAAAATTTGTAAACAGATGGCAATATTTGATGAATTTATTTTCTATTTTATCTAATATTTAAGTGGGTGGAAAACAGGAAAATAAAATTTTAAATAAGCTATTTTGAAATAAATTTTAAATTAAAAATATTTCCAATATATATATATATATATATTTATATACCGGGTGTCTCAGATTATAATCGGGACAATGTAGGTAGTAGGTATTCGATAGAAATCTAAAAATTAAAATAAAAGTTTATATAATTATAATAAAGTAGTGTTTTTTAAATTTTCGTTTCAGGTTGTTAAAAAAATATTACTTAAAAAAAAAACAAAAGCTTCTTGAAAGAATTTAATAGAACTTTTTATGTTTTTCAGAACTAGTTATTTAAAAATAAAATTCGGGTAAGCTACTGATTTTATAATATTTTTAGATCAAGTTATTAAAAATACAACTTTTTTCTTCCTTGCATTTTTTCTCTATCTTGTTTAGTTTTCAACAAAAAAATAAAATTCGTTTATTTGCTTGCCCCTGGAAAAATTATGGTCACGAGAGCATTTATAAATGAATTTATTTTTTTTCAAGATAGAAAAAAATGCAGGATACAAAAAAGTTGTATTTTTAATTGCTTAATCTAATTATAATACCAAACTCATTAAAGAGCAGTGACGTGACCACTTTTTTTTAACTTTAACACCTGGATCTCGAAAACAAACTTTAAAGCATAGGTACAAGTTTATATAAACTTTTCTTTTTATTTTTGCGAGTGCTGTTGACTACTAAATTTTACGGTAAGATATTTTTTAAAATTATGAAAGGATTAAAGAATGTTTTGACAAACATTTTATCTAAAAACCCATTGAAAATTTCAACCTTTTTAACAAAAACATTTCTTATCGTTACTCTGTAAAAAAGTTTATTATTTATATTTGGTTAATAATAATATTTTGGCTTTAGTTTCATAAATCACCTATGACTTTTTAAAAGTAAAGCCATAATTTACAAACGGTGATTTTTTATGATTTTTCTAAAAATTTTGTTAACAAGTTAAAAAAATTCAACTCTAAAACGCCTTTACCAATCTTTATAAAATTTTGTATAAAAATACTTTAACTTAGTTACGTGTTCAAGGGTTTTTCGAGAAAATATCCTTAAAGCCCTTTTATTTAATAATAAAAAAGCTGAAAAAAACTTTTATAGGGAATTTTTTTTAAGTAAATAAATTATAGCTGTGAAAGACCGTATTTTTGTTAGTATACCATGAAAATGTTGTACAAATCAAACAAACAGTAACAAAAATACAGCGCTTCAAAGTCGTCAAAAATGACCACTTTTCAGCAAAATAATCAAAAAGGGGTCATTTTTACCGACTTAGAAGCGATGTTTCTTCATTATTGTTCGTTTGATTTGTACAAAATTTTCAGGGTATACTAACAAAAATACGGTCTTTAACAGCATATTTTTTATTTAGTTAAAAAAATTCCCTAAAAGTTATTTTTTGAACGTTTTTTTATTATTAAATAAAAAACTGAGATATATGTTGAAGTATTTTTATACAAAATTTCATAAAGATTGGTAAAGGCGTTTTAGAGTTAAATTTTTTTTACTTATTATGCGTTAATTTTGACGCGCAGTGTACACTACACTATACACTATACACTAGACTGGGCCAAAAAAATCGACTATTTTTTTTTTTTTGGAAAGTATATCGAAAATATTGTATGGGGTGACAAAAAAAATTATGGTGAAAGTTTGAGTCCATAATATTAATATTAAGAGGTCTATCATCGCAATTTTAGATTTTTTTTTACTGAGCGAGTATTTGTCTCAGAACTCCCAAATCATTGAGTTTAACAAAATTGACTTAGGAATATTTTTTGAAGAAAATTGAATGCTCTACAAAAAAGGTTTGATTGGAATTTCCCGTCAGATGAACCCTTTTCTTACAATCATGCCTTAAAAATTGGTATAGTTTTACATTTTGATCTTTTAAATTGGAATTTTGTAATTCAAGTAAAAATCAGTACCCTGAAAAAAAAACGATAAATATTCTTATAGGAAATCAAATGCTCTACAAAAAAAGTCTTTTATCATTTTTGGCTAAATTTACTCTATCAAAAGTTATTCAAGGTTAACTTTGAAGTCAAAACGAAATTTTAACCTTGAATAACTTTTGATTGAGTGAATTAAGCCAAAAATGTTAAGAGGCTTTTTTTGTAAAGCATTTGATTTCCCATAAGAATATTTATCGGTTTTTTATGAGTACTGATTTTTACATGAATTACAAAATTCCAATTTAAAAGATCAAAATGTAAAACTATACCAATTTTTAAGGCATGATTTTAAGGAAACGGTTCATCTGACGGAAAATTTCACTTTAACCTTTTTTGTAGAGCATTTAATTTTCTTAAAAAAATATTTTCAATTCAATTATTAATTAATAGGTACTTTAAAAAAAATAGTTGATTTTTTTGCCCAGTCTACTATACACTACAAATATATTTACGTCTCATAAAAAAAATCAAATATTAAAAGAGCTTCGAATGGATAATAAAAATAACATTGTATATCAATAATTTAATTAATTTGATAAACAAAACATCAATTAGCTGCTGTGTACAGTGCATAATACATAAACGATATCGTGGACAAGAATAACGTCGAGTTTATCGCAATATCCGTGCACGGTCGGAGATCCTCCTGGCAATTTGACAGCAAAGGAGGCTAGAAGCGATGCTTCTATGTTTTGCGTGGCCGTCCATGATTCACTGCTGCCAGAGACACGCACAAAAATAGGCCAATTAGCGTGCGGACTACGGCGCTCCACATATTCATACATACAACACATAATACACATGAATTGCGTCTTGATTATAATTTCAGCGATTTCTGTGTCTTTAAGTTCCCTGACGACCGCATGAAGGTTAAGGATGTTTTTTTGATTTTTTATGTTACCTATACTGGTTAGTAATTTTTTTGTTATGTTGGCATTTTAATAGTATATTATTATACGAGAGATCTTGAGTGTTTTTTTACTCCAATAAAGCAATTTTCATAAAAAAATGTTTTGAAAATTTTGAACATTTATTTTATTGTTATTGTTTTCTATTTGTGAAACCCTTTTATTTGGTTTTTATATCAAGGATGATGTGAAAAAATAGGAAATTCGCCATATTGGATTTAGCATGACGTCACTCACCTTATAGTTTTCTACTCGTCAAACCCATTCATTTCATACCCATATCAATTGGGTTGTAAAGAATAAGTTACAATATTAAGTATACTTAATTGTATTGTCACCAGCACCAAAAGTGTTTTCAAAATTTGTTGTTGGGTTAGTTAGTTTGTTTGTTTTTTACAAGTAAAGCGCGTAAAAACGAGAACAAATTCTAAAATATACAAATAAATTATTGGAATATAAAAAAACTTTATACTTAATAATAATATTGTCTTAACAATTTTCTTGATATTTAAGAATAAGTAGATACACAGACTGTGAGTAGATAGCTACTTATTATTTTAACAAAACAAGTTATATTTTCTTTAAATTATTTTTAAAAACCACACATAAAATTTCTTTGAAAATATGAGTAATTGTTTTAAAAATAAACCAATAAAATCAACTTAAAATTCCAAAATTAACTGCCTTAATAAAAATGTATAAACAAAATAAAATTGCTCACAAAAATAAATATCGCAGTAGAAAAATAAATATTTATTTTATTTTATATTCTACATTGAAATACTCGTTGCCCTTTAATAATTTAATTCTACACGGTAAACTTTAATTAATCAATAATTTGTGTGCAATTCCATTTTAAAAAAAATAATTTTTCGTAAATGGATTTTATACTATATAAAAGTTTATTTTAAAAAGAAATATTAAAATATTATTAAAATTAATAAGTAAATTACTTATTATTATTTGGATAACATTTATATTTGCAATATCAACCACTCCCCATTATTGTGATTCAATTTCTCTGAGAACACATCCTGAATTAATTGAAACAACAGAAATCCCAAAACGATCTTGGACCTCCCTTCTCGTTTGGCAAGAAGTAATGATTATAAATACTAAGGAACATCCAGCATCAACACCCCATTGTTTGGAATTAGAATTAGAAATTAA